TTTCAGCGGCTTTCACTTAAATGTCTCATTGCAACTTTTTCTCACTGCAACAGCTTCAGAAGTGCCACAGAAAAAAATAGTTTCGCAAAATTAGAGCAATTTAACAGAGCAATTTTTTGGAAAACTCTTACAAAGAATCTTCCAGGTGCAAGCTATGGAATTACGATGAAAATTTGACAATAGAAGCATGACAGCTCTGAATAAATTTCAGTCACAATAAATTAAAAATGGACAGCAATGTGCAAATAGGTATTCTGTATTATTTTAGAGTGATAAAAAGGTCAAATACATAAGTGAAAACTTTTCACAAATAACCACACTAATTATGTAGTTACTCATGTATGTCATTCATCCAAAGAAGTTTCACATGTATACAAAACCAGTTTCATGGAAGTGCTAAGCAATACTTGGCAGCTATGGCTGTATTAGCAATGGCCAATAAAACTGGGCCTGTATAGTGAAAGAGTTTAAGAATATTCCATATTTTACACGGTCCAGGGGCTTTCCACTTTGAACTAGTTCTCAGATTTAATCTTAAAGATTCAAGGCTTACTAGTGGCTGAAGTGTATTAGGCACATTCCTGCAGCTTTCACATTATTTTGAGCAAAAGGAATCCCATCCAGGTCACTCCCTAGGATAACTCCACAATGCAAATCAAAGTAGAGGCGAACAGATTTACTTCAAAACTGCATGGCTGATCCAAATAAAAACAGTAGGATAACACACTCATTGCTGTATGTTACTTACTAAGAAAAAAAAAAGAAAATAAGCGTTTAAAGCAAAGAGAAATCTAACTTCTGAGAGGCCAGAGCTGAATTTAAGAAGAATTACCGTGATATAAGAGGAAACAAAAATATTTCAAACTTGATACAAGATCTTTTACACTCAACTCTATGAAATACAAGTTTATCACACCCATGTGGGCATGAATCACTTGACTGGAACGGTATGCACGTGAAACTGAAAGCAGACATACAATTTCATGACAAACTGGAGTCAGACATCTATTTACCAAAATTTTAGATATTTTAGTCAGTAATATTAAATAACTGTCTCAGTAGTGGCACACAGCAACGAAACAAATTAATACAGATTCTCTCAACTCTTGTCAGATAGCAAGAGGGAATAAAATTACAGAGGAAATATTTGGTAAGTTTGAGCAATCTGACTACACTGGTTAACAGTTAAAATGAAAATATATTACTCATAACACTGAGGCATTGCTGGTAAAATGGAATAATTATTGTGATAGCAATCACTGTTGCCTCAAGAATGTCCAAACATTCCCTGCATTAAGCCTTTTGTCACCCAATCTCATCTAGCCATCAGATTCCTTTCCTGTTCCTCATCATGAAAATAGTTAAGCACAGAAAACATGAAGTGTAGAATCACATTCTTTCGAAGGAGTACTTTGCACATTTTCTGAATGGAAGTACTAGTTGCTGCATATGGTTTCTTGAGGGTACCAAATCCGAACTGCATCTCCATCCAGCAACAGTGAGATGATTTGCACCAGAGAGAACAGTCACTTATAAAATCTGATCCTTGATACTTCTACTAGATTTCTCCATCCTCCCCACTCCATTAAAATACAAAATTCTAGTGAATTTACATCATCTAAGGATTTGTTATAGTGAAATTATCAGTCTAAATTTTGTAATAAGATGTTAATTATTATACTTATTCTTTTTATTTTCTTTCTTAATTGAGAAAGCTAAATATTATTCCTTCATTATTTCAGGTTACAGTTAGTTACCAAAAAAACAAAGATAAAAGCATTCCAAATAATTTCTAGATGACGGTCCTATATTTTCTAAAATGTGGTCCAATTCTCTAAATGTAGTTCCATGTCCCACTGAATTTCTCTCTTGGATTGGTTTATTCAAATGTAGAGGATTTTAAAAAAACAAATCTACCCATAGTCCAGGCAATAATCACACCATAACCTCTAATATATGAAACGTTTTTCTTAAAGCAGGGAGTCCAGTGGTCACAAATTGCCACATTCCTTCCTCAAGGACATTATTTTGGTACCTACCAGTTGAGAAATACCTGATAACAACCAAATTGAAGTGGTCTGAGCAGAGGCATGACAATATTCACTGACTACATCACACAAGTAGATATAATCATACTTTGGTTCCAAGGTCCATGGGCTACAAAGAAGAAAGAAGGCATCACTAGGATCTTGAACAAGGGTGCATAAGCAGAGCTACACTTTTGGAAGGATGTGGAAGAAATTAACATATTTTCAGAAATTAGATTAAATCTTCCAACCTGCAGTGTGTGTCTTAAAGCAGCAGGCCACACTGAAACAGATAACGGTTTAAAGACTGAAGTTGAATTTTGACATTGCCACAAAAGAAGATGCCATGACTTCATTTGCTCTCTCTCACAGCACACTAATTGTGGATGGGCAGCATCCAGATTCTCACTAATATTTATGCATTTATTCAAAAATGAACTAACAAGGAAGAACGGTGACAGGGGATATGTTGAGAGAGCGTATTGGTTAAAGTAACACAGAAAAATTCTTTTAAATTGTGAAAGCCAGAGCATACCACATCTGTAGGCCAAACTCTGGCTCAACCCAGTTTTCACCATGTCCGCAACTGATGAATATCCCTGTACACTGCCTAAGTTTTATTAAGTTTTTCTGATTTTTAATTACATTGTGGAATAGCTATTTTTGAATATTCAAAATTCAACTGAAGTTTCTTTTTCTTTTCCTTTCATGGAAAAATACAATTATTCTTCAGCATCTGAATGTATATGATAGCAAGCAAAAGGAACGCTTTATATATCTGGATTTCTTGATGATACCTCATAGAACTATAGAAGAAGAAAAGTTTGTTCCCAGGATATAAGGTATCTATATCAGTTAAACATATACAAAGCACATTAAAGTATGTTGTTACAAATGAGAAATTCCTTCTCATTAGAATGCACTTAATACTTTATTATACACACAAGATAAGACATCTTTTCCTGATTAAGGCATGTTTAATTCTAGGTCAACCCAGATTTCAAGTATCTCACTATACATATATAAAGTCATTTATAGGTCAATACTATGAATTTCAATCAAAGCGTTGAAAATTATCACCAAATTCTAGAGAAGTCAGTGTAATTTTGGATGTCCTGGGGGTAGAAGGATAGGGACTGTTGAAAGTCCCAGACATACAATCTTAGTTTTTTCAGCCCTGGAATATCTGAATTACCTTACCCTGTAACCACACACCACAAAGCTGACAACAGAAATGCTGGAATATAGACTGGAAATGTTATGAACTCACCTTTTCCTCTTTCCACCCCCACTTCCCCAACAAATTTAGACTAGAAAAAAGCAACAGCTATCCATATTAAAAAATCCATATTATCCTTAAATCTAAGTTCATTAAAATAAAAATTATGTATTTCAAGGATGAATTCTGCTTTGTCTTTATGTGAACTGTACATAAGCTTTAAAACTGAGCATGTGTCTTGATAGGTGTGGCCAGTGCACACACCATAATCATAATGCTTGTTTGTACCTTACTTATCCCTAAGAAAGCTCTGAGGTTTAATTGTGTCATTTGGATTTTCTGCACATTACTTGTCAGGACAGATCAGTATTAGTTTCCTTACTTTTAATTAAAAAAAAAAAAAAAAAAAAAAGCATGTATTTACAATAGGGCATTCACTTCATAGTGAAAACTCAGTTTGAAGTGGTACTGTGAGAATGAGACCACTTTCCATGCCAGTTCACTGACATACAACTTCAGTAACTTTGATGTATGGCCTACAAGCAGAATTTAACCAGCATGGCCGGTTGACCACGTGACAGATTAATAACAACACACTGAAAATAAACACGTATCACAGGTACTGATGGTTCTGGCAAAAATGTGATTCTAACAGTTCAGTTCTGCATGCTTTATCTTCTGCATTTAATCTTTTTTATTATTGTTTTTTACTGTTTAGAAGTTATGAGTCATTCTCTAGAACAACAACAACAAAAAACCCCAAAAAATCCCATCCAACAATAAGATAAGTATAAGCCAACTTGCTATGCCTCCCTGCCAAAACATTTTTTATTTAGCTACGGATACTTTCTGGTTTCTGAAACAAGTCTTCAGCTTTGATTACACATAGCTATTGATTTTCCTAGTTACGAAAACAAGACTGCATTTTTAATCCACAGTTGCACAACTGTTACCAGGCTCTGCTCCAGTTAACCAGTTATGAATAAAGTTACAGTTCTTGAATAAGATTATTTGTCTGTTTTTCAAAGACTTTTTAAATTTGTCAGAATTCTGGAAAATCATAGCTGTAAATGAATAAACAAAGAAAAGTCTCATCTTCACAGACCAGGGCTTGACAGGCAAACATACTTGCTAGTCTCGATGATAACCTAAAATATACTTTGTCAAACTTCCATACATGAAGGTGATCAGAGTTATCAGTGTATTTTCTTCAAAAGCAAGTAAGACATAACTTGAAAAATTTATCCTTAAGATTAATGTACTTTTAAACAACCTTTTGAACAGCTGATATGAAACAAGTTGTATTCTCAGAAACTGATTTTAGCTGCAGCATCACAGAGTAATCTAAGAAAAAAAACAGCAAAATGATCTCCAACCTGAACAATGCTCTTGCTATTGGACCAACCTTCCATAATTTACTTCAAGACCTGGAAGGACAGCTTTACAGAAAAGAATTTCTAAACACAAAGCTGAGAAAATCAAAAGCGATTTTTAAGGAACAACATCTGCTTCTGAATGACTGCAGTTTTTCAAGTCCTGGAAATCAAGGCTGACAGAAGCACTTTTCCTTCCTTTTTACTTTTTCATGGGAATTTTGGGTTAAAACAATAAAGTGGCGAAGTGAAAGTGCTACAGAGATACACCACGGAGGGGAGGGGCAAAAAAAGAGGGGTTAAAACCCACAAGTCAAATCAGTAAACGTATCATTCAAATATAACGCGCAACAATTACAGAGAAACTTTAAAGCTATTTACCTCGAGGGAGGGAGATCAAAGAGCTGTTTTCAGTCGGAGCTTGCTCTGGCCCTCCAGGCCCCGGAGGAAGAGGTTCTCTCACTTGGGACATCTGCCAGCTCTCTCGCCGAGTAACAGAGAGAGCCTGCACCCCTCTCCAACAAAACTAACACGCGACCCTGAAGGAACAAGCAAATGAAAGGACTCGTTAATGTATTTTAAGCAGAAAACTCACGGCTCGGGGCGAGGGACTGACGAGGGACAGAAGGGAAGCGGTGGCAACTTTCCGGCGCGGCGGCGGGCGCGCCCCCCGCCCCCTACAGCGAGCACCCGCGGGGCCGGGGGGCGGGAGCGGGCCCGGAGCCGGGCGGCCGCGGGGTGCCCGGGGGGGCCCGTCCTCCGCGGCGTAGCCGGCCGGCAGCGCGGCGCTCCTACCTCCGCATTTCCTCCCGCTCCGCTTCCCCCGGCCCTGCGCCGCGCCCCGGCCGCCTTCGCGCCGCTCCCGCTCCGCCGCGCCCCGGCCGCCCGTCCCGGCGGCCGCCTCCCCTCACGTCGTGCCGCCCGCCCCGCACCGCGGGCCTTCCCCCGGCAGTGGCGCGCACAGCCTGGCACTCACAGCCGCTGTCCCGCCGCCGCCGCAGTCACTCCTTCTCCATCATTTCCGGACAATGAAACATCCCGCTCCGGCTGGCGGCGGCTGAGGCTCGAGGCGGCGGTTGTGCAGGTCCTGCCGCCCGCTCAGCGACGGGCCCTCGGGCTGGGCAGGGCTCGGCTGCACGGGGCCGACCGCCGGGCGCCGCGCTGCCCCGGCCGGGCCTCCAGCCATGGAAATTCCCCCAGGAGACCGCAACCCGTCAGACAGAAGTAGGCAAGAAGGGGAAAAAAAGTCCCAGGAGATTGTGAAAGGGAGGCTTTCCAGCCCGGGCAGGGTTTGCAGCTGCAGCGCTGGCAGCGGTGCGGAGCGCGCTGAGTGGCGCAGCCGCTGGCTCCCAGGTTGGCCGCGGTGCTGCGGATCGGCCGCCACCAGTTGCGCCTCGGAGCGCGGAGCGGCACGTGGAGCGCCGCAGCCCCCTGTCCTCCGGGCCTGCCAGCCTCCGCCGGGCCCTGCCGACCTTCCTGCCCCGGCCCCTGACTGCTAACGTGCAGATATAGCCATTAAAAGGACTTCACAGCGGGCACACAGAAAGAACGCGAGTTTTCAAAGCAGTTTTCTAAAGTAGAACTCTAACGTGCAAACTACTTCCTCTGCTACCATCTGCCAAGTAGTGTTACCTAGACTTTCTCCATATAGGAAATAACATTTCTTTCCCATGGCACAGTTTGATGCGATCATCAGTCTTAGGCTCTTTCTTGCCCGCAGCACGGGGAACTGCAATTATTGCTCACACGTGTGCTGGTGTCCATAAACTACATGTTTTGCCTTGTTTATGGGAATATATTATGCCACCTTTCTCAACTGAAGTGTGTTCAGGTTTAAAATGTATTTTCCTTAAAATTTACAAGAAGATTTTTTTTTATTATTATGGTTTAGTAAATATGCCAGCTTTACTGGTATGGCTCATTGCAGTGAGATATTGAGATATATCTTTTGGGAAACAAAGGTAAGAATATAAAACACAAGTCGTAGACTATCAGCACCCTAACATGAGAGACTATAGCTGATAGATATTCATTTTGATATCACACATGCTAAGCAATATGCTCAGTTGTTAAAAGCTGACTTAAACTTTGTCTTTTCCCTGACATGCTTGCAAAACAAGCAGGATAAAGTATAAATACCTCACTAAGAGCCAATTCTATGTGAACTCCACACCCTTCAGGGCTAACTCTTATTTCAGAAGTCATCAGTAATTTTGCTGTACAGCTTTATTTTTGTCATTGCTGGTGCAAAAGAGAAGTGTGTTGAAAAGTGCATATGCTTCCCTCTGAAAAATACTATAATTTTAAAGTATTTCAGTAACCTAAGGTGTTCTTTGGGTGCAGCATAGTCTTTCTTTAAACATTTCTATGGAAAATGGGGGGGGAAAATATGTTTTATGTAGGAAAAGAGCTATGTAAAAAAAAAACAAAACATTTGGGCAAACAATGCTATTATTTTACTGTGTAATAATAATATTGGTCTCAATATCTACACCTTTTGTCTATGCAAACATTGCATAACTTTCCATAGTCCCCTCCTTGCTGTCCCGGGGGCAGAGTGATCAAAACATAAGGTAGAACAACTTACCTCAAACTCCCAAGTGAGTCAGTAGCAGAAGAAAGGTTGTGACTCACTCTCAACATACAAGCTTGTGTTTTTCCCTCTGAAACTGGAAACATAGCAGGGAGCTGTGGGAGGAGCAATAATTTAGCCAACCACACCCTACTTCCAAAATATTTCATTGGATAATAAATGCCTATGAAGAGCTGATACCACCCAGGATTGGTGTTTTGGTTGGTTTTTAAACCTTATCTATGAAACCCACATGGTGAACTCCCATGACGGTCAGTTTATCTTCTTTAAAAAGATGATGGGGTGAGCTCACCCTGACAAGGTTCAGTAAAGTTTAAAGCAACTAATTGAATTTACGGGATCTTCAGCAGACAGTACAACTGATGCAGTTTCAGATTGTCCTAAACAAAATCAGATTAAGAAAAAGTAAGATAATTCAATACACAAAAAGCCCAATTCACTGAAATAGTAGAGCAAAATATTGTGCAGTACACATTACATACCAAAGGCTGTGATTGTAAAAAGATGAGTCCAGATGCGGTCCCTGTTAATGAGATACCACAGATAGGCAAAATTCATTGGCATACGCACTTCCTGACACTACAACATACTTTTAACAAATACCCAGAAAATCTAAAATCTTTGTTGTATTGCTTTCCTGTAAAATACGTATCATTCTAAAATATTGACAATTCTCAGGAAGTGGGTAGTTCAGATACTAACACCAGCAGTCTTTCAAGTAGGCTAGAAATTTGAGATATACTGTATCTTTCTATAGCAACTGAGTTACTGGCTCTTGCACATATGCTTTCCAATATAGTCTTCCATTGTTAAACCATAAAATTCAGGTTTTGTAGGCAATTGATGGCAGATCCTGGGATTGATATGAAGAGAAATTCAAAAGTCTTGTAAATAGAAAATAAATACAGGTTGTAGGCAAGTTAAAATTTCATGGAAGAAAAAACACCAAAAAAAAAAGCCCTGACCAAAACAAACTAACCAAAAAAAAAAAAAAACCAAGAAACCAACCAACCAACAATAGCAATAAAAACCAAACCAAACAAGTAAACAAAAAACTAAAAAAAAATCCCACAAAACCACACCCCACAAACAAACCCCACACACCGTCATCATCATGAAAAAGTCCTCCAAGTTTCTTTCTCTATTAAGCAAGATTCTTTGAAACACACTTCTAATAAAAGTGTACAAAATGTAGAATCTAATCCTGTGTCTTCAGGACAAAATTGTTTATCACCATTTCCTAGGCTGAGCTCCTACACAAGCCATACAAAAGATGCAGTCACAAAAGATACTACTGCAGTCAAAATTCACTTTTCAGTGAACAAGAGTTTTAGAAAGGTGCAAGTTGTTTATTTAAAGTAAACCCACAACATCCCAAAATTAACTGCAGAGGTTTTTTACTCACATTATTAAAAATTAAATATTTCAAGCTTGAATTTTCCAAGGCAAACTTTTAGTATTGGTGGGTTTTTGGATTTCAAGTAGTTTGTATTGTAGGAAGTTGTGAATAGCAGAGATGCCCATCTCAGAAATGCTGTAATAAAATTGTGCATAACTCTTCAAATAAAAAATATGGTCAATAGCTATTACTTAAGGATCAATGGAGGTCTAGGTACTCAAATTTTCCCCCATCCTAACACTACTCTTCCCTTCTCCAGGGCTTACTCTTTAACTGATGCTGATTTCCTTCTGTCAAGAGGAACAGAGGAAACTGAAGACATTTTACTTCCCACTTAACACATTTAAATACTTCTGAATAATGGACAACAATGTTATTGAATCTTTTTGTGATTGATTGCTTGTACCTCAGTACATGTGAGTTCAAGTTATTCTTCTTCTATGCCTGAGAACATGGTTTTAAACTTTGTAATATGTAATTGTAACATATGTGTATTATTCTAAACTTCACCAGTCTTTTCAGTACTAGGATCATGGCAGGGTCTCTGTCCTAAATATATTATAGTACAACAATGCTGAAATGGAAAGACAGTTATAGTTAAAAGGGCTAAATAAAAAACTTGATGTTAAAACCAAATCATACAGTCAAATATCATAATTGCAAGTGAAGCTTATAATTTTTTTTTAAATTATTTTTAAAATATAGATTAAAAGCAGAAATACCCACAATAAATAAATATGCATAAAAGGACAGTAAAAGAGAATTTGAAGATCACTATTAAGCTTGGTTTGGAATACTTTTGGTTCCTGGTGTTCACGACCTAGCTTTTATATTAGTTACCCTTCTGCAAAGCATCCTGTAAAAAGCCATGTAAATTGTCAGATGCCAAGGCAAAGTTGGTTGCAGCTGTGTGGAAGATGAGGATTTGTACTTCATAAAGCATAAAGTGCTGTGGGATTGATGGTGCCTTAGATACCAGCTGATCCTAACAGGGCAACCAGCCCCATTTAGGCCAAGGAAATCCACCTTCGAAGAGCACTAACAGAAACAAATAAACAGTTGAATGTCTAAAATGAAACTAGAGACATGCAGATTTAACTCCTTCTGTAATCAGAACTGAAATTAAGATATGCATTATCTTTTAAAGGAGCAACTTGTTCCAGTAATGCTGTACCTGGGAGCAAGAGGCTTTTATATGATAAAGAATCCTTATCCAGGTTTGATGTTTTTCTGCCATGGGATGGACTCCACAATGGGGAGAAAGGGAGTATGATGCTTAATGCTTTCTGCTGGCTGGAGGTATTTTTCTCCATTTTGTTTTTCTGTTTAGATTAAGTATAAGAAACATAGTAGTATAAAAAATAGCTTCTGAAAAATATTGTCTAACACAGATGTTAAAGATTTCATTAAAATTGATAAATTATTAACTAAAACAAAAAAGATTCTCTGAGATTAATTTTTTCTGATATAACTCTAATGAGGCTCAAGGAGTGGTGTGAGGATGAATTCAGCTCAACAAGTTTTGTCCTGCTTAGGGCAAAGCACATCACATGGCCTGGCTTACAGTAGTTTCAGCTACTCCTTAGCAAGCTCAAGCAAGTAGCTCACTCAGGCAGGTAATAGACCTCATGAAAAATAACAGATCATATATTGAGGCATGGAAAATGATTTTTCATCACAACAAAATTCTGACTAGTAATTCATTACATTCCTACAAATAAGAAGGGTTCAGTATACAATTACAGCTGTGCTGGATTGCAACAGTTAATTAATTTGCATGTATTCCTTCAGTTATTCAGCTTTTCACTTTACAGTTAATGTTGCACCTTCATTAATAAAAAACTTATTTAGGACATCAGAAGAAACTTAAAATTCAGCAAAAATTAATTTTTCAAACTCTGTACTGATTTTTAAGGCATTGAAGATTATTTGGAACTTGTAGTGACATTAAAGATCATCTCAGTAAAGGCAAGTGATGGACAACAGCATCTTTTGAGTTAACAGAGCAGGAATTTTAAGGAAATATTGATTAAAAAGTGCAGCTAGCTGAACACAGAATATTGTAATATGAGTTATATAGAGGCTTAGTAAATTTATAATC